CCCATCCCTACTGGCATTCACCTTCCCCCCCCCAAAGTGCTGTTCACGGTATCTTTTCTAGAAATGGGCATCCCAACACACAGCACTGCTGTAAGCCCCTCCGAACACAGGGCGATGAGAAACGGCGTTCCTGGAGTTTTCTGCACCTTCACTGGCTCTAAAAGATGTGCTCTGGAGATCTGGGGGGGCGGGGGGCTGTGTTTCTCTCGTTCAGATGCCGTGGGATGTCAGAGGACATCTCCACGCTCTGCAGCCGACTGAGGGTGAAGGACTGGGAGGCGGCACCTGCCCCACGCCGGCCTCCCTGCCCCTGTCCTGGCCCCATTCTCAGGGGAACTCGTTATTGCTTCCAGCACGCCGCTGCACAGAATGTTCCACCAAGGTGTGGGCCTGGTTGCTGTCCACCTGTAACAACTCTGCTCTGAAAAACAAGCCAGCCCAAGAGCTCTTACCCAGAAGAAAAATCTTCAGCCCGCAAAGTCACTGAAACGTCACTAGTGCAGTTGAAACGCATAGGATTTGGCATATATTAGACAATCATTGGCACAACCTTCTCAGCTTCCTGTCTAGGGATCCACAGGCCCGTGGGTGGGGCCCTGGGCATATCAGCCAATCTGCACCGTCTTTACGTCGTTGCCCCCTGAGCACTGCAGGGAGAGCTGCTTCATCCGCGTCTCCAGGGCACGGCCCTCAGGAGGGGTGCTGCTGTGGCTCTTGGCACCGCTGCTGCCCTGGCTGAGGCCCCGGGGGCGGCTGGCCTTGTCGCCTGCTTTATTCTCTGCCCCTTCTGCCCTGTCTCCTGCAGAAACACAAGGGTTACGGGAAGTGAGGACCGACGGCCCGGAGGGTCACAGGGGCCAGCCGCTAGGCCCCTCGAGGCTCCCCGCACAGTCCACGTGCACACTGGGGTCCCAGCACATGCGCCCACACTCCTGCCACCCTCCTCTACAGCTGGAACAGCCCTCTCCAGCAGGCACGTGCCGCCATCGTGCTGAGCACGGGCCCTGAGCTCTGCCCTACAGATGCCACATGGAGCCGGAGCTCCACAACGGTGCTTGGAGACCACCTCAGCGACAACCACCAGCACATCCACGCAGACCTGCGGAGTGGGGACACGAGCCCAGGCACAGGTATGGCCTGGCACGGGCCAGGCTGCGGCGGTGGCGCCTGGGGAGTAAAAGGACTGCGCTCACCTCGCTCCACCTCGCACTCGGGCGAGGAGGCCCCACTGCATTCGCTGCGAGGCCCCAGCACGGGGAACATCATCCCAAACTCTGACAGGGACACGGGGCTGGGCAGGTCCAGGCTGCCCGGCCTCATGGCCGCAGGGAACTGCTCCGGCACCTCCGACGGGCTTGTCGGTCCTGAGCTAAAGCTGGACACAGACTGGGTTTCTGAGTCATCTTCAGACACAAAGTTGCTGCAGGTGTCATCTTCAAAGGCCTCTGAGGCCACTAGGAGGAAAGAGAAGAGCAGTTAAATGGGGACTGCCAGTGACTGCGTCCACGCCTCCGAAAGCGGGCAGGCAGTGGGCGCAGCCGGGGACTGAAGCACCTGCTGCTGTGGGCGCCAAAGGAAGGCGGCTCCCCGTGCCAGAATGACCAGCCTCAGAAGCGGCTTGAGGGGGCAGCTGGGTCCCATGACATTCATGTCCTCGAAGCACCGCCCAAAGGTGGAAGATGACTCAGCCCAGACCTGGGCCTCTCCAACCTGGTCCCCTGGGCCCACATCCGCGGGAAGATGCCCTGGTCCTTGCCGCACGGCCCAACCGAGGCGGCTGGATCCACGCCTCCTTCCCCAGGGGAAGCAGCAGGAGCTGCTAGGAACCGCCCCGAGTGGAGCGTCTGCTGGGACCTCTCGTCTGCTCTCGAAGGCCTCGCCCGGCCGCCCCGTCCCGCTTGCTGGGGAGGACCCAGGCCCTTCCACGGCTCTGCGGACAGAGCAGCTACAGCCCGAGACCCGTTCCTCCCCCACGTCCAGAGCCCCTCCGGCCTGAGTGGTGTCCCTGCTTGGCCCCACTGCCGACCAGCCCTCTTCCTCGATCTCGAAACACAGCCTCGGCCTCCCTTAGGTGACCGCCAGAAACGAAAAGTCCCAGAACAAAACAGGCTCCGGCCTGAACTCAGACCTGCAGTCACCGCTTGGAGGCCTTGGCCCAAGCACTGCGCCTCTGCGCTTCCTGAGCCTCTCCAGTCAGGCCTCACGAGAGGGTCATCT